CTTGCTGCAGCTCCACCTCACTACCCCTTTCCTACCCATAAGCTTAAATAGTCTTGATCTCGCGGGTGTGAGATTGCTGAGTCCCTGTGGCTCACAGATACTTCCAAACACTTGCAGGTGCCGATGATACCAATGCAGGTGACACAACCGAGCTCAAGTGGGAGCTTGATGAAGATCTTATTCGTTGTGTTGTTTCGTTTCCTGTTGATCAGTAGTGGAGCCCAGTTGGGGCGATCGGGGATCTAGCATTTGGGGTTGTCTTCTTTTATTTTGGTTCTATAGTCGGACCTTGATTGTATTCTGGATGTTGTATGTTTAACTTGTATTGTGTGAAGTGGCGATTGTAAGCCAACTCTTTATCCCCTTCTTATTCAATACATGGGATGTGTAAAGATTACCCCTCTTGCGACATGCCTATCATGCGGTTATGCCTCTAAGTCGTGCCCCGACATGTGGGAGATATAGCCGCATCGTGGGTGTTACAGCACCTCCAAGAATGGCGCTCCCAAGGGGGGAATGACACGCCCAAGGGGGTGGAACACCTGAGTGTCGCCATCATCTTATCGACTGATCAAGGGTTTCCCTCGGAGATAGCGGAAGGAGATGGGAGCTTCACCTCGATGATGCCTCCAAGAAGGAAACCGCCAAGGGTGTCACAATCACCGGCTCTGGCTTGTGCATATGAGGTGACATTGTCTATTTTTGTAACCTTAAATCACTCGTCTTCCTGTTATTCCTCCACCCACTTCTTCTGCCTTATGCAAGCTCGTAACAACTGTTTATGACGCATCCGCTTGTAGTTAATCCCCATTTCACCTCCATTCACACACACCAACCTCGGCTAAACATTATCCTTCCACCAGCTATGGTATAGTCTATAAGCTTAAAAACTAAAACAAAATCTAGACATTTACATGGGCTAAGATAACCTCTTGAACATCGTCCTATATCGTTTGCTCCACCGCTCTGGCGTGCACAAACCAATGACGCTACTATGTACTCCAGCCTCTATAGGGTGGCCCAGAGGTTGTCTGAAAAAAGAACCAAAAAGAAAGAAAAATGAGTCTACGTGATAAACTTTTTGATCCACTGCTACGTTATTGTTTCAACTGTGCGAAGGTCACGTAACAGCGTGGCTCATTGTGTCGCTCAGCTAGGGCACCACACTATGCGAACTGCCGTGTGACTTAGATCAGGTCCAAATGAGATTGATTTGCTATGCATGAACGACTGTATTCCCTTGGATTGAACAATGAAATCTCTTTTTCTTGCAAAAAGAAAAAGATTAGACATGGGCACTATGCCGTTGGTTCTGCTACTTAATCTTGCATGTATTGTGACAATTTCCTTAGAAAGCATGTAAATTGGAATGATATGAGTACGAAAGGATGTATGTCAGACTTCGCATCCATAAATCGCCAAACGACTTTTTTGCACACACACAATCATATTTTCCCCTCTCTCTATTTCTCAAATCCATGATGTGAGTGTGTTTGTACAACACATGTGTAGTCACTGATGTATTGTCGCCGGTAGTGGACTCATGACACGCCTCACCGCCTTAAATTCTTGCCGCCGGATTTAGTACACATGCAGTAGTCCCTGACTTGCCTAATGTGCATGTGGCCTATCAAGAAGATGAATTACATATGGTTTTCATTTTCAATACGGCAAGTTTTAGAAAAAATCCAAAATTAGCTATGAAGGATTTGTATTAGTGATGACCATAAACCCAAGCTTGCCTAAAGGTATACTGTGTTGTCTTCACCGTGGAAATAAACCAAACTCGTGTGTTGTACATATGTATGCCTCCATAAACCATTTATTGCGGGAAATCCAAGTTGCCTATCAAAAAATGTATTAGTGTTGGTTCTCTACTAATGTAGAACAAGTCGTTTTCAGTTTCACGCCTTAGGTATCAACATAGCGCGGGCCTACTTCCGATCCAGGCAAAGGCTTAACAATGAACACATATACTTCCTCCGTTCCTAAATATAAGTCTTTGTAGTGATTTCACTATGGACTACATACAAAGCAAAATGAGTAAATCTACACTCAAAAATGCATCTACATATATTTGTATGTGGTCCATAGAAAAATCTCTACAAAGACTTATATTTAGGAACGGAGGGAGTACTATACATGTACATCCATCCCAACTTAGAAGCACCATGGCACACAATTTCTTCCATCTACACTGCTAGTGCATCTATCTGAATATTCTCACACAAAGTCAATCATACGCAGTAACACACGAAGATGGGATAGTGCACCATGGGTTGCAGCAGGCGAGAGTTTCTTGGGAACGTTCCGGCAGTTCCGGCAAGGGGTGCACGAAGGGTTGCCAAGAATATCCCACGGGCGATGGCGGTTCAAGGAAGTAGGCCTTGCCAGCATGTGATGTACATGCAGTCGGCAGTCCCACGGCTCAAGCGTATCTGCCAGCATGCATTCATGCATTACCTCTGAAGTATCTTGCAAGGCCAAACATTCATTCAACAAACAAACCATACAAACCATCTAAACGACAAGTTACCAGCTTCAAAGAATTTCCGACAAAAATCAAGACGATGAACAATGGGTGACTTCAGTTCCAAAACACTTTTGACAGTCAGAGTTCCTTCAGTCGCCAATGATCCTTATAATCAGCAGAGGACTAACTGCACAAGTACATATTTTGATACAGTAGAACGCAAACATCTCATTCAACAAAATATGGACAAATTTTTATAGAACAAAGAGAAGGGAACAGTGCAGTTGGCAGAATTCAGCAGGAATAGGACAATTTGAAATGCACCTGAGTGTTTCTGGCATTCTTCATTTGATTTGTTCACACTTTGATGGCACCTAATAGCATACATACCTGAACTCTGATGAAACACCAGTCCTCGGTTAGGTGTTCTTGATTAAATCTGATCAATAGCCTTAAGCTGAGTTTAGATTCATTGTGTTTCATATAGAGTATTATCATAGCGAGAGTTTGACATACCACCTTCCTTGAAGGAATCTAAACTAACTATGTCACAGAAATGCTCGCAGAATGAAGTGAGATAATCACAATTGAAAAATACCACAAGAATTAGCTTGTACTAAGTGCTTATGTAGCCATCGAGGAATATATCACCATCGATTCACCATATAGAATTAGTCATTGTCGCCATCACCAAAATAGTAGTTGCAGAAGTCGGTCGAAACTCATGTGATGAAGCCATACTAATTTGAATGTACATGTCGATTGCATGAAAGTAAATTCATTAGCTTGTCATATGGAAAATAATAAAATATACAATGAAATGAAATTGTGCCCCTAACTGCCCATATGATATGGACTGCATCAATGTACAATATAATGCTTGAATAGACAAGTGATAATTCTCTAGAAAAGGACAACTGAAATAGTACTAATAATCAGTTTAAGACAGACATGCATAAAGATAGAAGAATCAACCTATTAAACATGGTCCGGAGTAAAAAGACGAGGGGAAGAAACATGGTCCAAGTAACCTTTATGTACAGAATATCCACGTACGAAGCACATTCGAATCGACAGTTCAGGAAGCTACAGTTTCACCAATAATATTATCACATTGCTTTTCTCTACATAATTAATCTATTAATATGATAAAATGCTAACTGCAGCTATTTCTTACAATAAACTCTAACAACAAATTCTCTATGATTGCAAACATTATTGAAATTGCAGTGGCTAAACTAAGTGTGATGCATTTTTCTTATTTCTTGCTGGTAGCTACCAAGTACATGAAGAAAGAGGAAAGTACAAAGGACTTCCCCTTTGGCAATCCAATCAGGAGAAAGTAAGAGCTGGCCTTGTTTGCTGCATGCGTTTGCAAATCAGGGAGATGCAAATCACCATGTTAATCACAACTGACCGAGAAGCACGCACCTGCGATGACGACCGAGAGATGGATGGAGTCGATGCTGGCGGCAAGATCCTCGACAACAGTTGTGCAGTTGAAGCCTGACAATCTTCATGGCCTCCAAGGCTAGGCCCAGATCTCCGTCACCATTGCTACTGCTACAAGACACCCGACCCTCCAACGCGTCCACCTCAGAGCGCTCCCCTCCCCTCCCGAATGCCTTGCCTCCCAGCGCCCTCCTCCATCTCTCCGGCATGGCACTGCACCTCTCGACCTCCTTCTACGACGACCTTGTGTGAGGAGGCGGCGAGGGGGAAGGTAGGAAATAGAAGAGAAGACAATAAAGATTAGGAGATTGGACGAGAAGAAAAGATTAATTAATTTAGATTTGATCTTTAGAGATTGATCATGATTGATTCTTTGATGTATGGAAATATTAATTAATATGATTGAGCAATTTATGGTAAGGTTAATTAATTTATATTTGATCTTTAAAGATTGACCATGATTGATTCTTTCACATAAAGATATTACTAAATAATAACTTGCGCCAGCATGGAAAATTCTGATTCGTTCATATTTTTTTCGTTGTGTGGGAGATGATGCGAAAATAAACCGGTGGGACGGTGAGAGAGGAGACGAAAAAAATCGACGAAAATAAACCGTGGATACTATTCACCAACTGCTCCATTAGAAGTAGAGATTCGATCGACTGAGTTTTAGCGCAATTGTTTTTCATTATACCCTATTTCTTTTTCTTAAAAGAATTAACTAGTCAATTATCTCGAAAGTCATGAACGATTCAAACATTTTGTTCACAAGAGACTCCTAATCGATTCGGGTGTGTCTAGGGCACATCTAGATATGTTCTAGTCATTGCACATCTAAGTGGGTAAATCAAGCATAAAGAGGAAAAAAAATATCCGCATGAATCTCAATGTATGATCAATGACATAGGATTTAGATGTGTAATACTTATGACGCACATAGGATCTAGATGTACTTTAGTAAAACTGAATCGATTCCTAACAAAAAAAAGGACGACAAAAGTTAGTCGTAAGCAAAGATCCAAATCTACGTAGTTGTTTATATTTACACACGGGTGCATGTTGGCGTGAGCAGTCAGCACACGGTGACGCCGGCCACCACGCCAGCGAGGGTCGTCAGCTCGTGATCGTCGAGGAAGTAGCGCTCCCGTATCTTCATGAACGCCTGGCACGTGAGCAGGCTATCGGAACCGGCCTGGTGCGCCTCACCGACGGCCCGCCTCACGTCCAGTTTCCCGGCCACGCGGTCCAGCCCGCCGCGGAGGTCGACGTCGCCAGGGCAGCGACGCGCCATCTCTTTAACGTCGTACAGCCTCTTGCGGACCATGGCCTTCACGACGCTCTCGAACTGCGCCGGCGTGACGGGCAGCTTGTACCCGCGGCCTAGCATCAGCTTGACGAGGTACGCCAGGTCGTAGGTGCCGCTGAACGTGATCACCCCGGCATCGCCAAGGCCACCGCGCAGCAGCTTGCGCAGCCGCGGGCCCAACGCCGCCCCGTCGATTCCCTCCCGGCGTGTCCGGTCGAAGTCCACGCCCTTGCCCCGCAGCAGCTCAATTGATTCGGGTGCATAGCGGTGGCGCCGGACGTCGAATTCGCGAAAGTTGAACTCCCACACGTACTGCACGGCGCCGCCGGTGCCAAGGTCCGGGAGCCGGCCCGCCGCGTCGAACAGAGTGAGGCCTAGTTGGATCAGGTGCAGCCCGTCGACGTTCGCCTTGAGCAGGGCGTACTTCTTCTCCTCCGTGAGTGCGTACGCCGGCACCTTGGGCCGGTACACCGTCCCCGGGAATTCCGTGTCGACTGCGGCGTACCGGAAGCGTGGCAGGAGCGACTCGATTAGCTCCACCTCGTCCTGCAGATTGTGCGCCCACACTGGCCGCACCACCACGTTACCCGGCAGCGACATCAATGCCGGCAACATCCACCGCCCGTTCGCCACCAGCGCCGGTATGGTTGTCGAGACCTCCGGCAACAAGGCGAAGGGCGTCGCCAGTGACCCAATCATCACGGGTGCCGATTCTTTCCCGCCAACAACGTCGAGGGTCATCGCCCACGGTGAGTTCGGGATGAAGCACATCTTTACCGGAGCGCGCGTACGTCGTGGAGCGCCGACTTCTCGGTTTGGTCGTTGGGTTCCGGAGATATTTTTGGAGGGGTGAGTATCATGTATGTATACGCCTTGCCGCGTGACGTGACGGCACGGTAAGACTCGAGGGGGTTGCAATTTAAAGGTGCGTACATATCTTGATTTGCGTCGGCGTCGTTCGACGTGTTTGTGTCGGCGTCGTTGATCATGTGTAAGTACAGTTGGGTATTTCGCCCAATTCTGTGAGTGTCGTGTTCTCCTCATGGATTAGACGACGACTACTATGTTCGACTAAAGCTAGGTGACAGAATGCAGATGATAATTACAAGGAAATAAACCTAAACTAAACAAGGTTGTTCCCGAAGATCTTTCACAAAGAAAATGCAAATAGCACATGGATATTAAGATTTTCTTCGCTTACTTTTTGGTACTTTCCTATTACTTGAGAAACTAAAATGCTAACAACAGGGCATGAAAGATTATATAATAAACAAGATTATATGACAGGGACAAAAATATAACAATGGGAAGAATCACAGTTATATGGGCTGAATAAAAATGTTTCACATCACAAACTCACACACATATTTTTGTATCACAAGTATTTGAGTAAACACATAAACTAAAAACTGGAACTAGTTCACAGGGTTAGGTACACATATATGGTGATAGATAGACCACAGATACACAGCAAGAACAATTCAACTAATGAGAACACATAATATGTGATACAATATTTATAAGTACGAAACTGAACCATTCACGGATTGCAAGCATTCATAGAATCTGAACATTACAAGGCATTATACATCGCCTATTACAGAAATTCAGAGAAGATAGAGAGGAAAAAAGAGAGATAGCAGCAGTTTATGGTTCAGACTAGGAGCAGCAGGGGCGTTTGAGAGAAGGTGCGGCAAGAAAGAGGAGCAACGGCAGTTTTGGGGAGAGGTAATAGCAGCCATCAGTTAGTTCAGAGAAGGAGCAGCAACTTAGGATTTTGAGAAGAAGAAGAACAACAGCAAATGGGGAATTGGAAGAGAAGCAGCAGCGAGCAACAAGTTAGGAGCAGCAGGGGCGCAAGAGAAGAAGAGCAACAACAAAGGGGGTCGGAGAAGAGAAGCAGCAGCAAGACGTGGGAGAAGGATGTTGAGTATGTGTTTTGTATTGCACCTGTATTGGAGTTGTGGCCCACCTTCTAGTCTTGTATAATTGAGGTAGAGATCTTTCCTTGTATTATATATACGTGCACTAGCACCCCATCAATACAACGTTCATTGTATTGCAAATCTCTCCTTTCACATGGTATCAGTTTTTTAGGTTATTTTCCTTGCTTCCGCTCCGCCGCCGCCGCGCCTCTCCTCGCGCCGCCGCCGCCACCGCTCCGACCCAAGCCGCGCACTCCTCCCGCGCCGCCGCCGCGACCTAGCGCCGCCGCCGCTGCCGCGCGACTCCCGCGCTGCCGCCGCCTC